AATTAAAATTACGGCTGTGATATCTGATGATCATTAGACACTGTGCTTGAATAGTTCAGATCTTACAATACTAATCTGTTTGTTGTTGTGCAAAATGATTAATCTAATATTGGACATGGTGTACCACAGGGGTTTGTTATGGGTTCTATGTCTTTTAGTATTTACATGTTTTCTCTGCATCAGATTATTGATGACACTCAAATTAATTTACAGATCTTGAATATTTGGATGAAATTAAATTAAAATTATGGCTGTGATATCTCATGTTCATGAGACACTGTGACAATCTTTAGACAATCTTTATTCTTAAACCAACTTACTAAGAATACAGATTTATTTGAAGAGGTCATATTACCATTATCCCAAATAAAGGAGGTGTGAGGAGAAAAATTGTGAGAGTAAAAATCAGTTTTATGCTAGCAACTGATTAGCCTACAAGGTGACATCATAGTTCCTCCACTCCTCCCCTTTAAGATGCTCAAAACACTGCGCAAACAGAAATCAGTTCAATGTGCGTAAATTTATGCAAATCCTCAAATCAAATCTTTTTTCACATTTTACTTTAATGGCAACAACAAAAAAATAATTGATTTCAGCTTTTGCCTGTACAGTTGAAGTCAGAATTATTAGCCCCACTGTTTATTTTCTCCCCAATTTCTGTTTAACTGAGAGCAGATTTTTTTCTCAACACATTTCTAAACATAATAGTTTTGATAACTAATTTCGAATATCTGATTTATTTTATCTTTGCCATGACGACAGTAAATAATATTTGACTAGATATTTTTGTATACAGCTTAAAGTGACATTTAAAGGCATCTCTAGGTTAATTAGATTAACTAGGCAGGTTAGGGTAATTAGGCAAGTTATTGTATAATGATGGTTCTGTAGACTATCGGAAAAAATTAGATTAAAGGGGCTAATAATTTTGACCTTAAAATTAACTAGACTAGAAAAAAATATTATCAGACATACTGTGAAAATGTCCTTGCTCTGTTAAACATCATTTAGGAAATATATTTATAAAAGAAAAAAAAATCAAAAAGGGGGCTAATAATTTTGACTTCAACTGTATGTTGAATTTGTGTGTTCATTTTCAGCCAAACGCCCCATAATTTCCACTTCTGACAAACATATGTACTACTATTTTGTGATTTATCAAAACAGACAACTGTTGACTTGTTCAGTCATGTGTCAGTAATTCAGCATCTCTCTCTGTAGTTTCACTGTAAAGATTTGTTGTGGCCATCATTTCTTTTATTTTCCAATAGTCTGCAGATGTGTCAGATAAATAAAGGTGAAATGTGTAGTGGTTTCTCTCAGAAGGAGGCATCTGAGAGCTCCTCTCTTCCTTTGATTTTTCTCCTGTGGTATTTCTTAGAATGTACAACCGACCTGAATTACATAAACACAGAGACCTCCAGTGGAGGACTGTAAAACTGCTCTGTGAGTCACACTTCAGTGCCATCGCTTGAAAGGACAGTTGAACATTCTGATAACATTCTGTTAACATTAACTCACTCGTTTCAAACCTTTACGAATTTCTTTCTTCTGTGGAACAGAACTAGCTTGAAGAATGTTGGAAACTACTTTTAATACCAATACTATTGACTTCCATAGGATTTGTTTTTCCTACTATAAAAATGGTTACAGGTTTTCAGCTTTTCATTAAACTGTTCAACAGATGAAATAAACTCATAAAAGTTTGGAATTACTCGAGAAAGGGTAAATAATGAGTACATATTCATTTTTTGGGTGAACTATCCCTTTAACACATTCAATATCAGTCATTTTACTTTACAAGTCATACTTATGCATCTAAAAATTAAACATTACCAGTGTTCTCAGCAGCAGAAGATGTCATAGAAGGTTAAACTAGACTGCAGAAGAAGAAATATTGAACTCATTTTGATTGTGAGACAGAAATATGCCAAATTTGCATTAATTTCTTCAGCCATTGTCATATACGGACCATAAAATACAGTCACCCGCTGCTGCCACACAATTTTTTTTTCCACTCAATTATGTGATAATAACGAGATATTTTCTTGGTAAAACGACTGCTTTTCTCATAAAATTGTTTTTTTTTTTTTTTTTAAATGACAACTTTTCTCATTAAAAAATTATATATTATGTCATGAAAAGGACCTATTTTCTCTTAATAACGACTCTCGTTAATTTTCTATAATAATTTTCTCTCTTGTTATTACAAATGTAGTAATGCTATTACCAACAGATCATTAATATTTAAGATGCGGACGTAGTGTTCACATGCTAATAATAACTAACAACACAGAGACCTCCACTGGAAGATTGTAAAACCGATCTGTAAGCCTCACTTTCAGGTCCATGGCTTGACATGTTCAATACTAACATCCTTTACATTTAAAAGTCATATTTTTGCATCTAAAAACTTGAACATTAACAGTGTTCTCAGCAGCAAAAGATGTTATAGAAGGTTAAACTAGTGTCCAGAAGGACAAACATTGAACTTAGTTTGATCATGAGACAGAAATATGCCAAATTTGCCATCATTTCTTGAGCCATTGTATTAAATTCTTGTTTGTCATACAGACCATGAAGTACGGTAATGCACTTCTGCCACACATTATTTTTCTCCACTCAATTACATAATATATATGTAAAAAAATAAAAAATAAAAAAATTATATATATATATATATATATATATATATATATATATATATATATATATATATATATATATATATATATATATATATATATATATACTAGTGCTGTCAATTAATTTAAAAATGAACCAATTAATCACACTTTTTTTGTAATTAATCATGAATAATTGCGAAAAGCCGTATTTATTAGAGAATTAAAACACAGGCATGTAAGTGCCATTTGAATTGATTAAATATAAAATAGAAACAATTTTGCTTAGTCCTCCTTAATATTCAGCCAGTTGCTGAGATAAACCAGTCTGCTGGCATTATCGGGGGACAACATGGACCTTTTCTTTTAAATGATGTGACCTGAGAGTGAGAACAGTCTCTCACAAGCACAATCACCAAATCAGCATATGAATTTTAGTGCCTAATTTTGGTGCCACTGGTGTTGTGACAAGGACGCAAGAAGCACCAAGGGGTACATCAAAGGCACGTACCAAACACTATAGACTTCTTACAGGGACTTTGATCACACCACCTCTTAAAATTTCATTCTGAACAGCTTTGAGGTATACGAAGACATCGATGTTAGGCGTTTGCCCTTGTTGCTAGGAAACGCACATAGACACACACACACAGATGACTTTAAAGGACCACCCAAGGCCCAAAATGGGGAGGTTTTTCTTTCCGTTTGCCATGTGGTATCAAATTCCGTTAAAACAACACTCTTCCAGCAGACCTTACTTCATATTTCAATTCAATAATTGTCACGAGGCATAAACAATATGTTGCTGAATGAAAGTGAACTGCTGAACTGCAGTTAAAGTCTAAAGATTAAAAATTAAACACTTGAATTTGCATGAAACTCTGGTGATGCAACATTAATTGTTTTATACTAAACCTTCCTTCTAAAAGCCCTTCCTTGGTCTTATTCATATTTCTTCGCACGTTAAACACACGTCGGCCACAACAGGAAATAAAAAAAACTGCAACTTCGTTATTTGCGTTAATTATTTCAAATTAATCGCATGTGTTAACACTCTAATTTTTACAGCTCTAATATATATATACACACACACAATTACATCAAATATATCAAAATGTGATCTTGTTAAAACAAGATCTTTTCCCATCATAATTTCATTAAAATAACATATTATTTTCTCATAATGACAAGATATTATGTCTTTAAAAGGACAACTTTTCTCTTAATACCAACATATTATATTGTTAAAATCTTTTTACTTGCTCTAACTAACAAAATAATGGTATTACCAACATATCTGCGGATGTAGTGTTCGCATGTTTATAATGCTAATAATAGAGCTTTATTGTCACACAATACTGTGGAACGAAATGTGCTACATAAACAACACTGGAAGTAAGAGCTATTTTAAACCTGTACACAACTAACACACCGGAGCGGTAATCTAACTATACTAACTACTAACTATACATATACTATAAATACTTAACTATACACATAACCTAAGACACACTATGCAAGTACTTCTACATAAGGCAGAACAATATTGTGAATGATATTGTGCAAAAGAGGTACTCAAGGTTGGAGAAAACATATAGTGCAACATGGTTTGGAGTATATTCACAAGTAAACGTTCTTTTCCTTATTGAGTCCTTGTGAGATAGATTTTAATTAAAGTGTCTGGTGCATATGGAGAGAAGAATGTTTCTACAGGTGGTTTGCCAAACCCAATTACTGGCTTCTTAACCATTTATTTGGATAAGTGTGGTTTATTTATAAACTATTTTAGAGAGGATCACCTGCTTATGATCAACACGGCTTGCTCCTCATTAGCTGCGTAATCTGCCCTATTGGATGATTATGGAAGCGTTATAAATAACCAGAGTTTTCCACTCCAGTTATCTTTGTCTTGAAGCGCCCCCCCCCTTCCACCCCTACTTCCCCCCTTTTTCCAATAGGGCGACACGGTGGCCCAGTGGCTAGCACTGTTGCCTCACAGCAAGAACACTGCTGGTCCAACCTCCTATCGGGCTGGTCGGTGTTTCTGTGCGGAGTTTACATGTTCTCCTTGTGTTTGCCAGGGTTTCCCCCAGGTTCCCCGGTTTCCTTCCACCGTCCAAAAATATAAACCATAGTCGATCGACTAAACCAAATTATCACCTAAGACAATCTTAGTTTACACTTCTCACGGCGACAAGCAGGTCCTAGCAACTTCTCGAGACCTACCTGAGCTCGAACTCCCCTTTTAACGTGAGGGAGCCCCGGCCTCGAGGATATTACAAGGTCAGGACTCTCTCCCGGGACAACATGCCAAATACACTTTGTTGATTATCAGCTAAGTGTGAACTCTTGAAATATGCACGATATCAGTAGTACCTCGAGGTGAAGGTGAGAGCGAGAGCAGCAGACAGATGTGGCATCAGTCTCAGATTCTGTGTCTGGTGCTCCATGATCTTCACCTCTTCCTGATCCTTCGGACCAAACTGTCTGCGACTGAAAATAGACAAAAAAAACTATGTTAATGATGAAGATGTGCTCGATTTCAAAGCTAAAAGCTGTAAATCACATGCAAAAGTGATCATCTTTATCAATTTTTTTTGTCCAGTGCAAAAATCTAACACTTGAGAATCTATAAGTCTTGTTTTAATTTTTTTTTATTGAAATTAAGATGTCAACATTGCTTTTTAAAAACGTTTATTTTTTTGTAATTGCGTTGCCAGATATGTTTCTGGTTTTAAGCATAAACAACATTCTTAGATTCATTTTCCTTTGGCTTAGTCCCTTATTCATCAAGGGTTGACACAGCGGATTGAACCGTCAACTATTCCAGCATGTTTTACACAGCGGATACCTTTCCAGCTGCAATCCAGTACTGGGACACTCCCATACACTCTCACATTCCCTCACACACATACACTACAGCCAATTTAGTTTACCCAATTCATATAGTGCATCTGTTTGGACTGTGGGGGAAACCGGAGCACTCGGAGAAAACCCACGCCAACACGAGGGGAACATGCAAACTCCACACAGAAATGCCAACTGACCCAGCCGAGTCTCGAACCAGTGACCTTCTTGCTGTTAGGCGACAGCACCTGCTGCGCCACCGCGTCGTCAACAATATTTCATACTGCTAATATTTTCACAATACATTCAGAAATGTAGATGCATTTACTTAAGCAAAATTACTTTGGATATTGCCATATTTTCTAAATGGTGTTATAATATAAAGAAAAAATATACAGTTGAGGTCAGAATCATTAGCCCCCCTTTGAATTTTTTTTTTCCTTTTGAAATATTTCCCAAATGATATTTTAACAGATTCAGGAAATTTTCACAGTATGTCTGATAATATTTTTTTCTTCTGGAGAAAGTCTTATTTGTTTTATTTCAGCAAGAATAAAAGCAGTTATTAATTTTTTTAAACACCATTTTAAGGACAAAATTATTAGCCCCTTTAAGCTTTATATTTTTTCGAGTCTACAGAACAAACCATCGTTATACAATAACTTGCCTAATTACCCTAACCTGCCTAGTTAACCTAATTAACCTAGTTAAGCCTTTAAATGTCACTTTCAGCTGTACAGAAGTGTCTTGAAAAATATCTAGTCAAATGTTATTTACTGTCAGCATGGCAAAGATAAAAAAAAATCAGTTATTAGAGATGAGTTATGAAAACTATTATGTTTAGAAATGTGTTGAAAAAAATCTTCCCTCCGTTTAACAGAAATTGCGGAAAAAAATAAACAAGGGGGGCTAATAATTCTGACATCACTTCCAGCCTGATCTCACTAGAAAACGTAAGTATTTTACGTTTTGCCAGTTTAGTGGCTCGTTTGTATGAATTCGTACGAGTTCAGTCGTACGAAATTGTACTATTTTAAAAAGGAGGCATAGCACCTAACCCCACCCCTGAACCCGAACCGTCATTGGGGGATTAGCAACTCGTACTAAAATGTACGAATTAGATCAAACGAATTCATACGAATCAGCCACTAAATGAAAAAGTTACGAATTGCCGTGAGATTGTGTTGTCACTTCTGTGGCAGAACAAAATATTATATATTAAAAATATATTGTATATTCTATATAAATAAATTAATTACGCAAGCACTTTTTATAAAATCTTATTAATCCCCAAAAAATATCTTACACATCAGTGTTGTAGGTAACGCATTACACGTAATGCGAGTTATGTACAAACCTGATTCCAAAAAAGTTGGGACACTGTATCAATTGTGAATAAAATCTGAATGCAATGATGTGGAAGCTCCAAATTTCAATATTTTATTTAGAATAGAACATAGATGACATGTCAAATGTTTAAACTGCGAAAATGTATAATTTTAGGGGAAAAATAAGTTGATTTTATATTTCATGGCATCAACACATTTCAAAAAAGTTGGGACAAGACCATGTTTACCACTGTGAGGCATCCTCTCATCTTTTTACAACCTTCTGGAACTGAGGAGACAAGTTGCTCAAGTTTAGAAATAGGTATGCTATCCCATTCTTGTCTAAAACAAGCTTCTAGGTGCTCGACTGTCTTAGGTCTTCTTTGTCACATCTTCCTCTTTATGATGTGCCAAATGTTTTCTATGGGTGAAAGATCTGGACTGCAGGCTGGCCATTTCAGCACCTGGATCCTTCTTCTAGGCATCCATGATGTTGTAATTGCTGCAGTATGTGATCTGGCATTGTCATGTTGGAAAATGCAAGGTTTTCCCTGAAAGAGACGACGTCTGAATGGGAGCATATATTGTTCTAGAACTTGGATATACCTTTCAGCAATGATGGTGCCTTTCCAGATGTGTAAACTGCCCATGCCACATGCACTCATGCAACCCCATACCATCAGAGATGCAGGTTTCTGAACTGAGCGCTGATAACAATTTGGGTTGTCCCTGTCCTCTTTAGTCTGGATGACAAGGCGTCCCAGTTTTCCAAAAAGAACTTCAAATTTGGATTCGTCTGACCACAGAACAGTTTTCAACTTTGCCACAGTCCATTTTAAATGAGCCTTGGCCCAAAAAAAACACCTCGCTTCTGGATCATGTTTAAATAAGGCTTCTTTTTTGACCTATAGACTTTTAGCCGGCAACGGCGAATGGCACGGTGGATTGTGTTCACCGACAATGTTTTCTGCAAGTAGTCCTAAACCCATATTGTGATTTCCATATAGTAGCATTCCTGTTTCTGCCGTCTTAAGGCCCGAAGATCACAGGCATCCATTATGGTTTTCAGGCCTTGACCCTTACTCACAGAGATTGTTCCAGATTCTCTGAATCTTTGGATGGTATTATGCACGGTAGATGGTGATAACTTCAAACTCTTTGCAATTTTTCTCTGAGAAACTCCTTTCTAATATTGCTCCACTATTTTTTGACGCAGCATTGGAGAAATTGGTGATTCTCTGCTCTTCTTGACCAGTTAGACAGTGGTTCCCACTGTGGAACAATTGGTACCGGGCCACATAAGAAATCATAAATTATTTCTGTAAAAAATATTCCCCCCGCGACTTGGTTTCTTCCACTCACCCCCGCCATCTCACGTGAAATGGACTATGCCAAAATCCACCACGGAGCGGAAAAAAATGATAGAATATCGCTCAGTGGCGGTTGTTGATAGTTTAAAGTTGTAAAACAGGTATTGTAGAGTCCAAATCAGCAGAGCATTTAAGGATTGTGCATATATGTGTGCGTGCATCACTAAGTAAGTACCCAAAATCATTGCAATATGTATCTATAGCTATTCACATAATCATACTCATTAGGACTGTAACATGCCAATGCATACATTTAATTCGGCTATACGGTTGTTGTTAATATGTTCGTCAGTTGAAATGTTTGGCACAGATGTTATGTATTTGATGCATATAAACTTTGATTGAAACATAATCAGACCGCGATAGTGCCGGGATGCCTCACAGTAGTAAACATGGTCTTGTCCCAAATTTTTTGAAATGTGTTGATGCCATGAAATATAAAATCAACTTATTTTTCCCCTAAAAATATACATTTTCGCAGTTTAAACATTTGACATGTCATCTATGTTCTATTCTGAATAAAATACTGAAATTTGGAGCTTTCACATCATTGCATTCAGATTTTATTCACAATAGTTGTTCATGATTAACCTTGGATGCACTAGCGCAGTAGCTGTGATTACGTGAAGCAACCCACCCCCCCACCCCCACCCCCACAACAGTCCTTTGTAAATTGGCAACCGTTGACCGGTCGGCGGTGATAAAAAGATTTGGGAACCACTGCTCGAAGAGACACTGCCACTCTCATGCTGTGTTCACACCAGGCGCGGATAAATCGCGCTATTTGCGCGTAAATAGCCGTGTGAACATTTGAGTTTACTTGCTTCATTCGCGCGTCAAACCCTGCTTCATTCGCGTGTCAAATTCACTTCAGAACAGACGCGGATTCGCGTGATGGGCAGGGCTTCTGTCTGCCCGAAGACTCTATCTTCATAGCTAAATGGCTAACATGGATTTTATGAAGAAAATAACAGTGTTTATGTGCTTTATGGAGACTGAAAAACAGCGTTGATACGTTTAGGGTCGTGTCTGAGTCCACTACATCCTTTCAGAGGTGCATCCAGCTCTGTGAGTTTATAAACTCCTCCAGAAACTGAACCTGGATAACGGAGGCTTTCAGCGGTGTTTCTGACTGAGCCAAGCCAAGTTTGATGAAGTGTTGTCGGTGAAGGCTGGAGGATTTCTCTCGGAACACCGACAACAGGTTCTACGTCACAATCACTCCCCCACAAGAGCAAGCTTCTGATTGGTTAATGCGGCGCGAATGTACGCTGAAGTTCAGATTTTCGAATTCGAGAGATTCGCGTGAAACGCTCATTAAACGCGTCAAACGCGCAAAACGATCAATTCGTCCCGCGCCATTCGCGCAATTTGCGTCCCGCCATTCGCGCGTATCGTGCCGCAGGATGTCTATTCGCGCGTTTGCATTGACTTAACATGTAAATCACTCGCTCTTGACGCGCGTGCCGCGTCTGCTGTGAACGCAGCATGAGACTCTGAGAGGCTCTTTTTATACGCAATTATGTCACCAATTAACCTAATAAGTGGACAATTGGTCCTCTAGCTGTTCCTAATACATACATTTTACTTTTCGAGCCTGTTATTGCTACCTGTCCCAACCTTTTTGGAATGTGTAGCTATCTTGAAATCCAAAATGAGCCAACATTTGGCCTGAAATTTAAAAATTACTCACTTTCAACATTTGATATGTTATCTATATTCTATTGTAAATAAAATATAAGTTTATAAGATTTGTAAATTATTGCATTACTTTTTTATTCACAATTTGTACAATGTCCTAACTTTTTTGGAATCGGGTTTGTAATAATATTACATAAATTGCAAGTCATATCTTTCCGGCCCCTCATTTGGGATGCTTTTCATGAACTGCCCCATGACAAACTAATTGAACAGCCCTGCCTTAAAGGTACAAAAGTGAACCTTGCGG